GCAGTACCGAGCCCCCAGCGACCACCCTTGGGCGTGCCTGGCGCTGGACCCCTGCCGGAGAGAGACTCGCGCTCCCCGTGCGGCCGCGGGTCCCCGGGGCACTGGCACCTTCAGAGGGGACTCCAAGGTGATCAGTCGCCCAAAGGGATGGGACAGCCTGGATGGTGGCCTCCTGGCACTCGCCCATCCCGGGTGCAGCAGCCTTCCCAGAACTTTTCTCGCGACTCAGGCTCCTGACTCCTTAGCCCTTGGAAAAGTTCTCTCGGGCGCCCAGAATTCCATGCACCGGTGGCCTCCGAAGCTGGGCAGGAACCCGGGCTGGGGGTGAGGGAGGTGGAGTGGGGATGCGGCGGGGGCTGCGCTCCGCGGCCGGGGTCGATCAGCCGAAAGGCTGGCCAAGCATCCGCTCCTGCGCCCAGGGCGAGCTTGTTGGTACCGAAAGGGTTTCGGCGCCATCGGCGTTGTTTGGATTCCTCGCTCCAGGAGGGCGGGAGGCGGTAGGGAAGGGGGGATATCGTCGCCTCAAATGAAAACGCTTTTTGCAAAGAAATAGCCAGGGCTCCCAGCGTGGAGAGGTGGGCTGACCAAGACCGGCTGACACAGGTATTCCGGCTGCCCCCGCCTCACCCCACTAGATGCCTCAGCGCCTGTGTGAATGGATCGATTGTTTTAATCGATTTTTTTAAAAGCCAGGTGGCAGCGGCTGCGTGTGTGTACACAGATATACACAAACACAGACACCCAGGCACACACAGATTACACGTACAGAGTCACACACAGACCCTCCCTACACACACACACACACACACACACACACACACCAAATATCACGGACCCCCAAGCACACATACCTCCAAAGAGTCAGATGACCTGTGAGGTCCCTGAGTGTTGCCCAAGGTGGGGTGGGGGCGGGGGCTGAGAAAGGGGAGGTGATGCAGGGCTCCCATAATTTCCCTCGGCCCCACCCCAAGCCTCTGCCTTCTCCTCCTGGGAGGTCTGAAAGAGAAACCCCAAACCTGGGCTCTTTCCACAGCCATAACGGAGCCCAACCCCTTGCCCCTCCTTTCCTTACAAACCAGCCCCAACCTCGCTCTCCTTGTGTCTGACTTCGGGGTGCCAGGGCTCCGAAGTCCCTCGGAAACCTTGGAGCCAGCACGGGGAAGTAGAGTCTGACCCCCAGAGGCCTTGGCTGTGGGTCTCGGGGTCTCATGCCTGCTCCACCCGGGTTAGGAAAGAGAGGAGGGGCGGTGGAGGGACAAGGATGGGGAGCATGGACTGGTGTGAAGCTGGGCCGACGGAGGACGCCTGGGGAGCGCTCTAGGGCGCCCCCTGGACACCGCAGTAAGTTTTCCTCTCCCCGGGCCCCTTAGGAATGTAATCGAAGATGCTGGCCCTGAGGCTGCTCAATGTGGTGGCCCCCGCCTATTTCCTGTGCATCTCCCTGGTGACCTTCGCGCTCCAGCTCTTCCTCTTCCTGCCCAGCATGCGCGAGGACCCGGCGGCCGCGCGGCTCTGCTCGCCGGCGCTGCTCCACGGGGCGCTCTTCCTGTTCCTCTCGACCAACGCCCTGGGCAACTACGTCCTGGTCATCCAGAACTCGCCCGACGACCTGGACGCCTGCCAGGGGGCCTCGGCCAGGAAGGCTCTGTGCCCCCCGCCCAGCACCCACTTCTGCCGAGTGTGCGCCAGAGTCACCCTGAGGCACGACCACCACTGTTTCTTCACCGGCAACTGCATTGGCAGCAGGAACATGCGCAACTTCGTCCTGTTCTGCCTCTACACCTCCCTGGCCTGCCTCTACTCCATGGTGGCGGGCGTGGCCTACATCTCGGCAGTCCTCTCCATCTCCTTCGCGCACCCACTGGCCTTCCTCACGCTCCTTCCCACCTCCATCAGCCAGTTCTTCTCTGGTGAGTGGGTCTTCACAGGCAGGTTGGGCCCTACACAAAGACCCAACCCCAATCCCAAGTTTGCCAGATTTCGCAAAAATAAATAAATCAAAATAAAAACCCCCACAACAAGATGCCCAATTAAATTATAATTTTGGATAAACAATGCATAACTTTTAAGTGTATAAGTAACTCCTAAATATTGCATGAGACATACTTATACTAAAAAAAAAAAATGTTCTGTTACCTATCTGAAATTCAGTTTAACTGAACATGCTGTATTTTATCTGGCAACCTCTCTCCCTACCCCAACCTCGTTCATCATCTCCTTTTTGCTCACCACGGTCCATTTGCTTGTAGAGATGTGGTGATCCAGGCAATACACCTGCTCTGAGCCAGGCGGGCTGGGTGCTGGCTCCCCTTCCATGCAGCCTGTGAGGGGCACCCATGTTTTGACCTTCCTCTGCCTAGACCCCAATGCTGCTCACTCATTCCCTTAAGGACTTTCCCTTCCAAACATCTTGCCAACCAGCCACAGTAAGATCAACAGGGTGCCAGCCAGCCCCAGCAAGAGACTAAGTTCTGCCCTCCTGCCCATTATGTTTGACCCCACCAGGTGGTCCCAGCCTGCAGATGCCTCAGAGCAGGGGGCACCTGGTTGGAGATGCAGCCATGTTTAATGGTTGCATCCTCACCACAGTGACGGGACTGGTGTGGGAACTGATCCTCCAGGCGGCTCATACACCTGCAGGAGCCAGACATGTGGGCCTTGGAAGTGGCGCTCAGCTGGGCACCCTGGTGAGGACTGTGTATAGTGTGCCCTGCGAACAGCTCCCTGACACTTGGCCCAGAGGGACCTGTGGCAGTTCTTACCACTTTACCTGGCCTTGCAACGTGTCCCTACCTCCCTTCCTTCCTCTCCATCCTACCCTGGCCTTTGACTCCGATTGACCTGGTTTTTACAATTGATAGTGTGCACACATGTGTGTATGATATCAACTTCTCTATTTCTCAGATGAACAAACTGAGGCACAAATGGATTAAATGGCTTTCCCACAGCCGCACAGGGAACACAGCATGTTTCCTCAGCCACTGACCTTTCAGGGACAAAGAAAGGCGGAGTGCAGCTGCTTCCACTGAGAAGCCAAGATTGTCTTGATGTGCCTGCGCTGGACATTCATAAAAATTTTGCTCCTCTCTGGGGGGGGGGAGAAGCCATTATTTCAGCCTTTGTTGGGGCAGCAGCCTAATCTTTTGCAGGCATAGAACTGTTGTGCCATTTGGCAGAGGGAACACAGAGACCCAGGAAGGACCCAGATAGGGGAGATGCCTTGAGGGTCTGGTGGCTGAGCTGGGCCCAGAACTCAGAGCTCTCAGGCCTTCTGGAACCTGGCGCTGGCATAGGAGGCTGCTGGGACTGAAATAACCAGGAGGAGGGAGGGTAGGTGGGCGAGCTAGGGGGTGGAGTGTGAGCACAGGCAGGTGGAGAGATGAGGGGAGCCAGAGAACCTAATTACACTTTCTTTTGCAAGTAGTTTCCTCACATAAAAATGGATGTTTCCAAAGGGAGGACCTTGAAATGGTTTGATTTGAGATAAGCTAGGCTTAGAGGCCTATCCATATGTGCTAGGTTTGGGAGGCAGGAAAGAAAAAAAGAGGGATCTATGTATTTGCTCTGGTGGGAGAACAGAACCAGTAAGTGCCTACCTTGGAGGCCAGATCCCATTCCAGCAGAAAGATGAGTGCCATTATCTTTTACCTCCTCACCATACCCACTAGGAAAAGAAAGGCCAAGATTTGTAATCTCAAACTCTCCCATCTCATCTTACTCCTTTGCCAACCTTTCATCGTTCCCCTTGCACGTCCTTCTCCCCCTCCCCAGTACACTCTTCAGTGCCTTCCTCCCTATCTCCTCTCCCCCTATTCTCAACCCAAGTGGTGAGGACACTACCTACCTCATTGCTCAGGAGGACAGGATGGAGTTGGAAGGCCCAAGTTGTCTGATTGAGCAGTTATTTTCCAGCTGTGGTACTTGTCCTCAACTGTGGTCCTGTCCCTGACTTACATCTGCATGAGCATGAGATGGCTGGGAGAGTGGGCCCTGTGAGCTAGAAGTAGAAGAGGTCTTCTGGTGGCTGCTGCCCATGGGTCTTTAGCTGATGCTCAAGAGGTAGGAGGCTGGCCAGGTGGATGTTAGAAGTTGTCTTTTCTTGTGGCTTCATGGGATCAGCGTAAATTGTGTCACCTCTCTGAGCCTCATTCTTCTCACCGAGGAAATGGAGATGATGCCATCTGATCTGTGTCATGACATTTGTATAAGTACACCAGTGTGGTGGATGCCTCCAGAAAGTCCAGTGAAAGGGAAAGGGGATTAACGTTTATTGAGCACCTATTATGTGCTACCCACTGTGCAGGTCTCATTTCATTCAGTCCTCACCATAATTCTGTGAGGTAGATATTATCATATCCATCTTAAAGGCTCAGGAACAAAACGGTCAGCAAGGTTAAGTTGCTTCGAAGCCACATAGCTAGTTATGACTCCAACCTAGGATTTGGACTCAGGGTTGCTAGCCTTCAGGGCTCATATTCCTCCCACCACACCACACTGCCTCTCTGAAGCTGCTTCTTGATGAATGAGCCTCTTTGGGAGGAAGGGAGCCCCTTGTCCCTGAATGTATGTCAAAGAGGCCAGGCAATGATCTGTCAAAGGTGTTATAAATGCTTGGTGGGAAGCAGGGAGGGAGAGATTGGGTGGTGTGACCATTCAGGCCTTTAGAAAAACTCTGATTTTTTCTAAATGAAGAAGAACTATTATTAGATAGTTCAGAGAGCTGAGGCAGGCAGGTTAGCCAACTTCAAACATTTCAAGAAAAAGCAGGTCACCAGAAGAGCCTTTTGTAGTTGCCACAAGGGGCCAGGAGGAGGCCACAGGGTCTTTTCCACATGCCTTGATTTAGTGCCAGAAATAAAGCCCCTGAAAAACAGCTTCCATCAGCTCAGGCTTGTCCCCGAGGCTGAGATGCAAGGCAGGCCCGCACTTGACAGCTCTGATGTTCTCAGGTCCCAGCTCGAGGGTCATCTCTGCCTGTCAGCATTCCCCGAGCCCAACGGGAACCCCGGTCCCTGGATCCTTCATCCTCCATGTGCTTCCTGAGCTAACCTGTGCTGACAAGAAGAAGTGGGTCAGAGGGAGGGCCGGCCCAGTGTGAGCCCCGTCCCGCTGCTGCACCCAGCCAGCTGAGGGGCTCCTCAAAATGCCAGCTGGAACGAGCCCTCCCTCCCCTGGGCAGATGGACTTATTGTCACCAACTTCGCAAATAGAAACCTGCTATCAAGCTCCCAGGGGCTGAGGGCAAGAGGAGGCTGCTAATGAGCAAACCCAAATCCTCCTGCTGGCTGAGTCCATCACTGCTGAGACTGGACAAGTTGTAAGAGCCCAACCCTCAGGGGTCTGGAAACAGGAGCCTGGGGAGACCGGAGAAGAGGTAGACCGGAGCCAGGGGAAGCTGGACAAGGGAGGGATATGGTTGTGATTTGCAGAGGTCAAGTAGGTTGTAAGGTGGGGTCTGGAGCAGGTACCCTCATCTCACTGGAGGAGGTGGTGGTGGGCTTATCCTGCAGGAAGAGCAGCTGAAGGGGGCTTTCGAATTCTTTCCTGGGTTCACTGCCCTGGTTGCTGGGCAGGTCAAGGTGGGTGTCTCTACCATGGCTGCCAAAGATGCAGCCCAGCTAGGACTGCAAGCCCTGGGAAGAAGGAGAAAGCTTGATGGTCTAAAAGGAGTTCTTTTAGAGATCTTTTTGGGCCAAGTCTCCTCAGCAGGGGGCGCTGTGCTGTGTGGGAACCAGAAAGCTGACCACTTTGCACACAATTTTCCTGGATCGTGCAAACCTATGGAACCATTTTGCAGATGAGCAAACTGCAGCTCAGAGAGGTTAAGAAACATGTGTGAGGCCACAGAGCTGGGAGATTCAAACTTAGCATGGACTGCCCATCCCTCCTCTGAAGAAGAGTGTGGGATCTCCTACTCAGATGACATTTAAAACCTAGTAACAGAGAGGGCTTGTTTAGAGAGGTTTACAGGAGGTCCGGCCCAAGGCAGGAGGCTGGACTAGTGACCTGGGGACGCGGGGTGGGGGTGGGGGTGGGGGCGCTTCCAGGTTTAGCAAGTTCTGACTGACAGGAGAGCTCTGGCCGAGTGTTCTGGTGGCCACACTGTCCTCTTGTTAACACTAATGACGGGTTTATTCTCTCGGTTGGAGCTCTGTGCTGCCCTGGGAGCTGGTTACTTATTCTTTTTGATGACTAGGCCCTGCTCCCCGTCACGCTGTCACCTGCCTGAGCCCTCCCGCTGATGCTTCCGGCTCCATGGGAGCAGGTGCTTCAGTCTAGACAGCTGCCCAGGCGCCAGCTCCCTCTCTAGCATCCTCAGCTCACCCCTCGCTCCTCCTAGAAAAAGTCCTGTCCCTGTTTCCAGACCAGAAAGAGAAGGCAGAGAAAGACGGGCATCTCCGACTCAGGGATGTTAATATCTAGGCGTGCGCAGAGCAGCTTCCTTCCCTTCTCCCGGACATCCCCAGTTCTCCCCTGGCCGTCAGCACTAAGAAAAAGTTAGGGCAACTAGTTTATCCTTCCTCGCCGTCGCTGCGGCGCTGAGATTGCTGTAAAATATCGCTTCAATCTTATTAATCTCCCTCCCTTCCGAGCGGGAAGCGCCTGCAGGGATGGCAGGTCCCTACGTGGCCTGGGAGTAAAGCGACGCTGGTGTTTCCCCGCCCCCACCCCTGCAGGAGCTGTCCTCGGTTCTGAAATGTTCGTCATCCTCATGCTCTACCTCTGGTTTGCCGTCGGCCTGGCCTGCGCCGGCTTCTGCTGCCATCAGCTGCTGTTGATCCTCCGGGGGCAGACCCGCCACCAGGTGCGCAAGGGGGTAGCGGTGAGGGCCGGGCCCTGGCGCAAGAACTTGCAGGAGGTGTTCGGGAAGCGGTGGCTGCTGGGCCTGCTGGTCCCCATGTTCAACGTCGGAAGTGAGAGCTCCAAGCAGCGGGACAAGTAGGCGCGCCATCATTTCTCTCTGTGTCTTGACTCCTCCTGAACACGAGACCATGGCACCCTTGTCCCCACCCATGACCCACTGCAACTTGGATGGGTAATGTCCTAGCACCCAGCCCTGGTCTGTGACACAGAAAACAGCATTGGCTGGTGGATCGACGACAAGGAGGAAAAAATGGCCACCCAGGCATTGTTCCACTCTCCATGGGCCGGCCAGGCAGGTTTCAGGAGGCCTCTGCGTTTGTTTCTTTTCCTTGAGGCCCCTCTTTGCCCCTCTGCCCACTTGATCCATGCCCTCTGCCATGTCTCATGTCGTCACTGCCATCTGCTAGATCTTGTCCTCTAAGCCCCATGTTGGGAGTAGGGAATGAATTCTTGCTGCTGATAGGATGCTCCCTGGGACCTGAAGTCTGGCAAAACTGTTGAAAATTACAAAGTGTTTAAAATTACCAAGTCTGCTCTGCCAACTGCCAGGGAGCTTGGGAAAGGAGGGGGAGTGTCCTCGTCCCCTCTGAGGAATTGTGGGCAGTGAGAGGGGAAAAGAACTCAGTAGCTTGCTGCCCACCCCACCCCCAAGTTGCAAGGCCCTTTCTTTGGGACGCAGCAGCCAGTGGTCTGGGATTTCTTTTCCAGCTGCTGTCCCCTGTGCAACGTACTCCAGCTGGCTACCCAGCCCAGTCCAGGGCCTGGCTGGATGCTTTCTTTCCCTGGCACTCTTCCAGCCTTGGCTAGATGCTGGGAAAGGAAGGAGAAGGGAGAAGGAAAGGGGACATACTTATAAATGAGAGGCATGTGACTACATAACCATATAGGAGAGAGAGAGAGAGAGAGAGAGAGAGAGCGAGAGAGAGAGAGAGAGAGAGAGAGAGACCTTAGGGGAGAAGGAAGAGGGTGGCACAGAGGCTGAGTGCTGGGATATTTGAAGAATGAGAATGAGAGAAGGAAATGGGTTCATTTCTTCCCCGTATAAAAGACATTCTGGTAGCTAAAGCTGTTCAACACTAGGATGGCTTCCTGGGGAGGTAGTGAGGGCCCCAAACTGGAGGTATTCCAGCAGGGACTAGGCAGTCATCTAGCAGGTGCGCCAGGAAAGAATCCCTGGACAGGCTTAGGGAAGAGAACATCTCTCCCACCCAGGATTCTGGTGTCCGCTTTGTGATCGCCAGGTCCAGATGATCTGTAGAGAGTTATTTGTTTTCATGGAGGTGGTATGGGCACGGAGGAGTCTTAAAATGATGATGCAAACTTTTAGGATCCCACCCAGCCACTGAGGAGAGAGTCTCTGGAGAGACAGATCTACCCGGGCGCTAATGCCAGTTAAGGCGGTTGGCATTTGAGGACAGGGAGACGGAGCAGTTCAGGGGCAGGTGGGGACAGTGGTGGGGAGAGCAGAGCTTGAAGGTCATGCTCAACTCGGAAGGGGAAGATTGGGAGAGTTGAGGCTGTGGAATGGGGAGACCAGAATATAGGGGTGCAATTGCCAGACCAGCGCTGTTATCTGACTGGCTCTGAATAAGGGCATGGCTGTGTGTTTTGGAGCCCAGAGGACCAGACCCCTGGGGCATATGAGGGAGTGGGGACAACACATGTGCCCCCTCCTGACTGGGTCCCAAGGCCAGTCTGCCATCCATGCAGGCAGCAGGGCTGAAACCCACACCCTACAGTGCCCAGCTGGTGGCCATGGCAACCCCAATTGTTACTACACAACACCCTGAGTTCTTGGGTGGAGCTTGGAAGGACTTTACCTTGGTCCTGCCTTCAATGCTCCTAGAGGGCTAATGTACTAATGGCTCCATCTGCTTATACTTCCTCCCATATCCCTTCATTCATGCATCCTACATGTATTTATTTAGTGCCAAGTATGCACAGTAGTGACCAAGATCATGAGATTCCTGCCATCAGGGCAACTTGTCGCTGTCATCCAGGCACTGACTCCCACCCCCAGAAAAATAGTCACTCTGCCATCTTGGTGGTCAGCAGGGCAGGTCACTTGGAGAGGAAAGATATGGCAGAGAGAGCTGAAGGAGAGCCCCAGCTGCTGGATGAAGAAGTCATTGGGGGGCATCCTCACCCTCGTTCTGGCCATACTTAGGTGGTGGGAATGGAAGGGTAGGGGGAGAGGCCTGGGTGACCCAGGCCCTGGTTCTCTCTTGACCCCCAGCTCAAGCTTGGAAGCCAGTCCAGCCATTTGCAGCCTCCCGGAGCCTCGGCGCTGTGAGGCTGGACATTGGGGGAGGAAGCCAAAGGGGGACCTGCAGGAGGTCGGCTCCTGGCAGGTTAGACAGTGTGTGGGGGGTGGGGGTGGGAGTTTGGGGGTGTGTAGCGGTGGGGAAGTTGCCAGTTGTGGGACTTGAGTAGCATTTGTATACATGACCCTGCATTGTCGATGAAGAACATCAATAAAATATGTGGTTTTAAATTGGATTTGATGTGATCATATGGGCACTGTGGTTGGTAGCAGGGCTGGAATGTACCGACGCAGTCATACTGGCTATTAAAATATTTAAGGTCAGGATCAAAAATACTTCTGTTCAAGTGGGTACATCATCTTTGTCTAGACTGCTGCTGCCCCAGGTGCTCCTGCTCCTCCCCTGGGGCCCTGGTTCACCGCACAACCCAGCGATTAAAGGGGCATCTATGTGGGACCCCCAGGACCCTGCCCACTCTTTCAGGCAGAACCCACTGTGATTGGTCAGGGTTGTGGGTGTGGTTGGTAGCAGGTCCATAATGCTGGGGTCTATAAACCCATGGGACCAAGGATGGGCTGACTAACCTGGGACTTACTTCCTCTTCTCCCACTCCTCCTCGCCTCCCACCTCTTTCCACATCAGAGGACAGGTGGAGGGAGAATGAGGAATCCACCTGATCCTCCAACACAACCAGGGCTGACCACTCCTGAGGATCAGCCAGGGCCCCCTGCTCTCCCAGCCCCTACCGACAACACCTGGAGACCTTGGGCTGCCCAGCCCTGGGGACAGCAGGAAGGGGGCTGAGCCCTGCAGGGAGTGGTCCCTGAGCAGGTGAATGGGCATGACCTCTGATGCATCTTAAAGATGTGTAGGCCTGGGTTGAGAGAGACACAGCTGCAAGGTGCTGATTTTACTTGGGCTGTTGAACAACCTTCAGCCTAGGCCGGAGCCTGCATTGCCTGAACACACGCCAATGGGCGGCAGCTCCCTGATATGCAGGGGCAGGTGGTGGGAGATGAATGGAGCTGTGGCTAATCCCTAACGCTCAGCTAGTGCTTAGCGCATTCTAGAGCATGGGCTGTCTACACTCACAGGGCAGACACCTGCCTTGTTCACCATCGTATCCTGGATGCCTAGCAGGGGGTAGGCATCTAGTAGGTGTTCAATAAATATTGACCGGATAAATACACAGCTCAGTCTCTCACTCCACATCTCTCATTCCCCTCATGTGCCCAGCATTGTGCTTTGCACATTGTGGGGCTAGAAATGGATGAGACAACTCTGTACTCGAGGGGCTTACAGTGCCTCAGTATTCCCATCTGGAAAGTGGGCACCCTGCTTTGGCCCAGGCCCTAGTGTTGGATTAGGCAAAAGATGAACTTCCATATGAGAGAAGGACAAACTGAAAGGGACCTGAACCACATTCCCTTCCACTATAATGAGAAAGCCGGTCCTTAGGTCCCTGGGGCCATCTTTTAGCCAATCTCCTTCCTAAGAATATGGTTGTTTTTGTTACTTGATACATTTGGTCCTCTAAGTGCCCTGGCTCCTCTCTGAACCCTCTGTCTTCCAACTGGCCTCATTGCCCGCCACCCCTGGCCCCCCTCCTGCCCTGTCTCTGGGCATGCTCTCAGGGAGGCAGGCCCTCCTGATGGGGAGAAAAGGAGGGGATGTGTAGGGAGAAGGATGCCTTGTCCTGCCCTGTCTGAGATGAGTTAGAAGTGAGCCAGAACCTTGGACCTGGACACTAGCCAGGGTGAGCCTACTGGTGGGGCTGGGGATGTCTGGGGTAGCTCAGCTGCCTTGGTGTTGGCCTCTGCCTCTGCCCTCATTCCTCACTCTGTGGGTGGTGCTGGCCCAGCTCCTCAATTCATTCCTCAAACATTCATTGATGCCGGGCATGAGGCCAAGAACCAGGAATTCAAAGATGAATGAGACCTATTACCTGACCTCGTGGGGAAAAGGACCAATTGTAGAGGGTTAAGTTTCAGTGGCTGATGGGAGGGAGAAGGACAGGGTGCTATGGAAGCCCAGAGGGGAGCACTCACTTGGCCATAAGTAGGCTGGAAGACTTCCCAGAGGAGGAGACTCAGACTCATGCAGGATGAATAGGAGTTGGCCAGGCAGAAAAGCAGGGTCGTGGGTGGGAGTGGGGGCAGGAGGGACTGTGCAGAGGCAGGGATGGCTGGTGATTTCTGGGACTGTGAGTCTCCTTTTAGGGGTGATGGGGACATGAGTATACATGCTGCAGGCACATTCCCCGTGACCCTGCCTCCTTCTTCTTCTAAAACCCGGACTCACCCTCGTTTGAGGTTGTTCCTCTTGAGTGAGTCAAGCATAGATTGTCATCTACTTTTTCTACTGGTCAGTGGAGTTCTCCAGGGTGGAAGGCACAGGGAGAGGGTCACGTTCATTCCCCCAGGGAATCAGCCTGGGAACATCAGAGACCCCTAGACCTCTCTCTGGGCCCCGAGAGGGGCCTCCGGGAGCTCCCCACCAATCGTTTATGCTCACACAGCTTCAGAAAATGGGGTTGGAAGGAAACTTTCTACCAACATGGCTTCCAGGTGTAGAGCAGAACTGAAAGGCTGAAGACTGAAACATAGGGATAACATTTCACAATGTACAATCCCCCCATCCTGACTGGCGAGGCCCTCTGCACCCAGGTGGACAGCTCCAGCCCACAACCTGGTGGCCCCAACATACTTCCTCCCTCAGCCTCGGTCTCTCCCAGCCCCTCTCTGTCCCCCATCTCCACAGGACCTTTCCTCACCAGGTCCAGTCCCTGGGGGAGTCTTCCCCTACACACGGCAGCAATCCATGGCTCTGACTCCCTCCTGTGTGGGTTCCATCTCTCTGCTCTACTGTAAACCTTGGAGGGCAGGGAAGGTGATGGTGGAATCCTCTGGTTTCCCCCATACCTAGCACATAATGTAGAACATGATGTTGATGCTGTAATTCAACCACGAGTAATAATGACCAACATTTACTGAACTCACTCCATGTCAGGCCCTTGTCATACACACAC